AAATGCAACTCGATCTGCATTGCAAGTGTTAACAATTACATTATATAGTACCGTACATAAGTATTCACCGCTTTTAACTTTTCCACATGATGTAATATTACAACCTGGAACCGAAATGGGCGAGATTTGGATGATATTTTATGAATCTAGAACTGAATCTAGAATTATTGAGCGTATCTAAACAAAGGGTTTGGTTTAAAAAAAACATTGAAAGAATATGGCATAAGAACTATTCTGTCTAGAGCAGGCCATCCAACAAATGTCAGTGACAGGCTATAAAGGGCATTCGTCAGAGAAACAACCAAAAGATAATGCTCTACATTAGGCTACCACCACCATGTTTCACTGTGGGGATGAAATGAATCCACATTTGAGTTCCAGATTGTAACAGTACAAGACGTGGAAAAGTACAAGGGGAATAAATACTCACATACACAGATTGAAAACTGGTTGATGCAGTGAAGTGTTCTGTGAGGAGACATTTATGTAGCATTTTTGGAAGGAGTCTCCAGTGTCAGTGTTTTGTAATATTCAGAGGTAAAGTTGTAACTGTAGGTTACAACTCTGGGAAAGTCTTTCAGGCAGTTTATAGCTGCTATAATGTAATTGATAATATAAACTTGCTTGGCAAATGTTCTACAACATTAAATGAATGGAGGGCAGGGTGTAAATATAATTGCAATATAAACCTATAAATATAAATACTGCTATAATATATAATAACATTACACTTATTCCATGTCTCCTCCTACCAATATGCTTTCTTGAGTATCAGGACAGGCACATGATAGGTCAATGAACAACATTCATGAATTACTTGTGGCACAAAACAAACACCAATCATTCAAAATGATCTCTGCTTGGAGAGAATTAATAAACATGTAGGCTAACATAACTGTGGTTATAATACATAGCAAGCTATGAGTGAAAATAAAGTAAGACGAATAAGGGTGTTCAGAATAGATTAAATCTGGATCATTTCATGTACGTTCACACAGCTTTATCCATATCAAAGTTACTACTATCGCATCTGTTAAAGTAACTGTTTCTATTACGATTTTCAGCTCTGTTAAGTCTCTGTTAACTTACCTGAGGGGGTCTGATCGGTCCTGTGTGGATACACGCTGATAGAGAAGCGTTCCCATTGGCTGCAGCCTGTAGGTATTATGGCCAATCATGCAAGTCAACATTTCGCAACAACAATAATGAATAACTGATCCACTATTTATTATAATAAATAATAAATAATCCACTTTCGGGGGGTAATTGTAAGTCTGTCCACGTCACACCACTCTGTCTTTGATCAATTTCCTATAACAGCACACCATCAAGTGTTTAATTTCTTACATCTTATAGCCTTCCCATCTTTTAGCCTGTTGAATATTTATTGAACATCCTAATAGCATTCTCTAGTCACTGGGATTTGAATATTAACGAGGCAATATCCATTTATTCTGTGATATTTTGTCAGGTTTAATGAAAAAGAGCAAGTGATGATGAATGCCTTATGGATAATGTGGTCATTTGTGATGAGGATGTAATGGTGGAGGTATGGCGTCTTTGTGAATTAAACTTGCATATTTGTGTCACAAATCCATTCCTCGTCATGTTAAAGCAAGAGGAACAGCGTGGGAAGAGATGACTTGATATAATAATTGAAAAGCACATCCTGTAATACAAAATGTCCTCACACCTGAGGCGTGTCTGAATTCTGCATATGTTAAATTAGACACTGACCTTGGAGGAAAAAAAAAAAGAAGTAATGCCTCCGTTTTCTCCGTTATATTTTGCTGTGTAAGTTTTTAACTATGGTGGGGGATTGTTTGCTGTTTAGTCCATGGGATGTGTCTGTATTTTAAGCTTCACGCCCTCCATCTGGAAGGTTCGAGGTTAATGGAGGTGACTGGTTGTCTTATCAGAAAATGCAATTGGCTGCGTTTGGAAACAAGACAATCTGAGGACAGATTGCGGGCACGATGGCGATGACAAATAACTCTATCATTGGCAGCTAGTCTGTTATGGCACACTGCACAAATACACAGCACACACACACTGTTTATGTAGAAACAGCAGCAATGTGCATGCGCAGCATAACAAATGCTAATGAGTGATACTGCATTCAGCATGTGTCTAACTGATGCAGTGTGAAGAATACAAGCTCGGTTAAACAGCTAGGTGCACTGATGGTACATAATAAGAAACACACACACACACACACACACACACACACACACATATACACAAGTGGAAATCATTTGGCTGTATATACAAAACCACACTCTATTCATTATAGAATGCTAGTTACTACCTGTCATTATAGTAAATTACCTACTATTTACTAAAGTACAAAGAGGCAACCTCAAGATGGATCTAAAACCTATACTGAAAACTAGAAGTGAGTCGGGAATACACACCGATACTCATACCAGTCCATCTCAGGATACAGAGTAATATCCCTAGTGTTGAATTAACACACAGAGTGTTTATATGAGTCCAATGGACTCATATAAACACTGTAGGGTGTGAATTCAACACTGTGGGTGTTAAATCAACACTGGTGATTTTGCTGTGTAAGATGTACTAACATTCATTTACATCTTAGCTTAGCCTGTACACCTACCAGCATGTTTTTAGTCGGTGGAAGGAAACTAGACAACTGAGAGCAAACTCCGCACAGATCACCCAAGCTCAGGGTGAACCGAGGCCCTTAGAGCAGCCCCCTGTGAGGCAGCAACATCTCTCTGAAGCGCCACCATATATATATAATTATCTCATATTATAATCATGTCATGGTATAGAATACATAACACACCTGTAATCCCACTATGCCTTGCAACAGGTTAGTGTACAAACTAAGGTTAGTGTAAACCTCAGCCCACAAGCAGCACTTCCCGCCACCAGAGGGAGCAGTCACCTGAGTTCTAGTTCACGTCCGGTTTTCTGCTTTATAAGCCATTCTGCTACCACTTCCAATTGCGAAGTATTGTTACAGTTATTGTGCAATACCAAGCCATGCTACTGACGCTGTTTCCTTTTGCCTGTTTTGTGGATTCTGCCGTTTGACTCTTGTATTGGGTTTGTTTTCTGTTGATCAGCCTCTCTGTATTATTACAGTGCTTCCCTCTTTCAACCACGACTCTGCCTACAGCTCTGGATTCTTTGCTTTGTGTCTTCCGCAATAAAGACCATTCTGCATATGGATTCTAACACACCTCCGGCTATTGATTTATCACAGTGGGCTTCCCACTACTCTAATTAAAGCCTCATCACCTCCTTGATCCTACATCCTTTAGCCATTGACCTGGAAATTGATTGAAGTCCACAATTTTTGAATGTTTTAATTGTTCATATTCATTCACAAGCATTAAGGCTCCCAGGATGAGGGAACCAGGTGTATTCTCAGATTTTTTATTATTATTTTATTTTTTTACAGTAGTGGATGATATAAACCTACGCTATATAACAGATTGTCAACTAACAATAAGATATAAGGAACACCAAATACAAAATGATGAAATGTGGACAAGCGGGTCCAAGCACCCTTTGCAAACAGCGCACCCCGTCTCCTGTTGTTGCCAGGTTACGGAAAACTCTAAAGAGATCATAATTGAATGTACTGTTCAGGTTTTGTGAGGGTAGGTCACAATGCCTCCTTAAAACTGATTGGCTAATAGCAGTCATGTTGTGTAAGTAACTCAGTCATCATTCGACATATGCATAAAGATTAGCAAAATGATGTGGAACACCGAATTTGTGAAGATATGCCAAAAACCCTAGGACTAGTTTGTGAAAATATGTTTCTTGTATTATGCAAATTATTAAAAAAAAAAAAAAGTTTGATGTAAATGTTTGACTTTAATATAAATCAGAGATCAAAGAACTAGAGAAAAGTCTTTAGGGTTAATGGTTCAATTTGATAATTGTTAGTTAATGGGCCAAAATGAAAACATTGCACTACAGCACCACCATGTCCTCTCACTTGCCTGAATAGTACATGATAAGTAACTATTTCATGCCAAAATTCATGTCTGTTTGATCAGTTTTAGAAGAAGAAGAAGAAGAAGAAGAAGAAGAAGAAGAAAAGGAATCCCCCAAAAAAACAAGAGGTTAACAAGGACTTTGTGCTTGGCCCCCTATGTAATACTACGTAATATTCGTTATTAAAAACCTTGGTTCAAATGGGTTTATAATGCTTAAATGTCTGTAAAACAAGCCTGTATTTAAGCATCAACAATTAAGCATGTGCTGTACACACAGTAATGTTTTGACTGATGTGTAATTACTTCTTATTGTGTATGTGCAGCTGTGTATCCAGGCAACAAATCATCAAAAGTGATGTAGCTTTAAATATCCACTTTATTGAGCAAGGACTTCTAGTTTGGCATCAATTCTGTTATAAGCGAGGGAAGCAACAAATAACTATACATACAGTACAAGTAATTAACCCCATTGTTCTCTCTCTCTCTCTCTCTCTCTCTCTCTCTCTCTCTCTCTCTCTCTCTCTCTCTCTCTCTCTCTCTCTCTCTCTCTCTCATACACAGAAACTATACAAACTCTGTCTGGATGTCTTTATAAGCTGTCGACTTGTAATTTCTTATTTCACAAGTACCAAGATTATTATTATTATTATTATTATTATTATTATTATTATTCTTAATTGAGTGAATGCTAAGTTTCACTTACGAGCAGCTCCAGAAAGAATTGTGTTGTTAGCTAAAACAGTGACTTTAATGTGACAGTGAATCAGTGAGTTTAAAAAAAAAAAAAGTGAACTTGAGCATCAAATCAGTTCTAGTCATGAATTAATCATTCAGACCGGTTTTATCAACAGGATTCCCCAATTTATCGAAATGAACCAACTCAAACGATTCACTCATCATTACATTACATTTATGGCATTTGGTAGATGCTCTTATCCAGAGCGACTTACATTTATCTCTTTTATTCAACTGAGCAGTTGAGGGTTAAGGGCCTCACTCAAGGGCCCAACAGTGGCAGCTTGGCAATGCTGGGACTTGAACTCATGACCTTTGGATAAGTTGACCAATGTCTTGACCACTGAGCTACCACTACCGAACCATTGCAACACTCACTCGGGACAGTTAAACAGATTTATATGATTACATAAAATTTTGATCGATTCCTCACAGAAAGCTGTTGCAAGGCTTTGGAAAGCTTGAATATATACAACACTGGACTAGTTTTATTGTCGCTTGGTGCTTTTCCGTCCTTTTTGAAGCTCAACGCTCCATTTCTATTGTTCGATTGCGTGGAAAAAACATATTTTTGGAAATATTGTGTTCTAACTTCCAAGGATAAACATTGTGGTGAGTAACTGATAGAATTTCTATTTGATGTTCATTATAACAGCTTCATACGGTCTCGCTTCAGAGTCATAGCACAAAACAGGGAACATAAATCTCCTTGTTTTTTTGAAAAACTGGGTGACTAACTGTCTTCCCCATCTTGCTCTCTCCTCTTTTTCATGTTTTTCTTTCCTCTTTTGGTATCCCAATTTTGTCTGCACCATTTCTGAATAATCCATGATCAACTTAAGACTACACACACACACACACACACACACACACAGCACAGTCTGAGGGCATTCATTGTAATAGAATATTGTGCGAAGAGGACATTTAAATTCCAAAATTATACAGGAAAGTATGGGGTTCTGCTATACCCCCCCCCTGCTAGAAATGGGAGGGTCAGCTCCAAATAGCCAACAGAGGACTTTGATTGGGGTTACTGTAGTGTCTGTGATGTAAACTAAGCTATCTGTTTTTTTTCCCCCATATGCAATACAATGGCTTGACGATGTTAAACGAGTAACCTTGCTGTTTTTACATTTTAAATATCGACACACTGAATTCCCAGATTATGTAGAATCACCAAAAGGAAGGTATTTTATTTGTTAAATGACTTTTTTTTAAAATCCGTTTTATAATGTGCTTTCTGTGTATCCACCAGGTTACGCTGGTAAGGGCAGATGAGGCGAGCTCCAGGACATTCTACCCAGGATTCTGCAGTTTCTCATGGATGCAATCTAACTGTGCTAATGAGTAATGTCACTGTATATACAGAGGCAATGCACAGCACTTTTTATCACTATGGAATGTAAATATATGTAAAATTTTGTTTTTATTTCTGAGTAACATACATATTTTGTGGTAGATTTTGTTGTGAAGGAATAGTTCATCTAAAAACAAAATCACTGAGCAATAAAAAATTATTGGTTATAAAGTTGTTACACATTCACCTCACTGAGCAACTGTTTTAAGTTTGTTTCCATCTTGATATTGGTGTATTTAATATTAGCCAATTATATAATAATATTAACTTCAGTCTTCAAATAGAATAGCATTGGACATGCATACAGTATGTTTATATCTGTGTTTTTCACTAGTGTCGCTACTTCCTGTCATCAATTATCACCGTGCACCTCGGTCCAATTGGGGATTTCCACATACTTGCCTTCAGTTCTGGATTTTTGCCTAAATCCTGCCCATTTGTGAAATCCCGCCTACTTACAGTGTGAGTACCTCCCACTTAGAGATAAGTACCTCCCACTTGGAGGTCTCCAGCAATTGTTCCCTGGGATAGGCTCCAGGTTTCCCTGTGACCCTGAAGAAGAAATAAGTGGTAGAAGATGGATGGATGGAGATGGAGATGTGAGCTGCTAAACTGAGCCAAAGAATAGAGCTGAAGTGCTGCAGAGATATTGTGTTGTAGATATTTGGGCTGATGAACAAAAGAAAATAATCACTGCATGCGATACACAAACATTTAAAAGTAGGTTTTATATATATATAATATATATAAAACCTCTTTATTTAGTGCTGACTCCGAGAGAGAGAGAGAGAGAGAGAGAGAGAGAGAGAGAGAGAGAGAGAGAGAGAGAGAGAGAGAGGGACTGAGAGAAGCATAGAGAGACAGAGACAGAGAGAGAGAGAGAGAGAGAGAGAGAGTGAGAGAGAGAGAGAGAGAGAAAGAGAGAGAGAGAGAGACAAGTGAATGTATTAAGGAGAATATCCCTATGATGGAGCTTTGGGGCTTGACCAAAGTGTTGTGACCTTCAGTGACCTCTGACTTCAACAAAGTGCAGTTTTAATTCTCCTCCACATGATGGCAGCAGGGACTATACAAATGTCCATTTCATTTGTCCAAAAGATGCAATATGAAAGAATTTTCCAGATTCAATCAGTCAGTCAGTCTGTCAGTCATATTGTGGCCACTTTTCTTCATCATCTTCTACTTACAAATTTAGAGACAAATAACTGAGTAAACAGTATTTTTAATAGTGATAATAAAATGTGCATTGAGCTGCTATCAGGATAGCTAATATCAAATACTGTTGTTGATTTGTTATATGTGTGAGAGAGAAAGACAGAGAGAAAAAGGAAGTGTGAATAAGGGATTACGTGTCTTTCATGTAGTGGCTAAGTTTCCTGGTTTCTCTTCTGGATGATATGACGTTGAAATGATGATTAATGGTCAGATTTAGTTTTCCCTCAGACCATCTGGAGAACAGTGACTTGATATTGAGTCTCTCTCTTCTCTCTCTCTCTCTCTCTCTCTCTCTCTCTCTCTCTCTCTCTCTTATATTCTTCCATGTTCTCTCTTTCTTTCTGTTCAACTGATCATTATTTTAAAAACATGCTATTTTTTAATAGCTTAATAATTTTACATGCTGCCAAAAACACAATGAAAAGCCTCTGGGAATCTCCTCATTGATGCCGCTATAATTATTTGCTGTCCTTTTAATGTCCTGAGTCATTAAGATGATGTGGATTCACATACAGTGCTTCCTATTCACTCTGGTTAGAGCATTAATAAGCATATTATTAGTCTGAATGGATGGTTGGTAATTAATACTGTTCAAGAAAGGCAGAGCGGGAAGGAGAGGACTGGCTCCAAAGGACTAAAAATACTCCTCCTATTTATACAAGCCGGAATTCTAATCCAGGAGGGATGACGCACAGGACGGCTCCATTACGGAGCACAGGATCCAAAGCATCGCTTCACTCCCCCTCTCATCCCTCGGTTTCTTCTTACTTCTTCTCACCTGTTCATGACTTCCTCTGCATCTGTTATAGAACCTGCCAGAACTGCTAGTGTTTTTCAAGTTTTTTTTTTTTGGCTTGCCGTTTGATTTTGGTACACAACTGAGTTTGGGTCGACTTCCATTTCACTGTTTCTCTGTGTGACTCCTTATCACGTCATCCATACATCTCTTTCAGCCTTTCAATAAAAATAACCCTATATATATATATATATATATATATATATCAGCAAAATCAACTGCTTTTATTTCCAGGAAATTTCTTAACATGTGTAAATACTTGTATTAACCAAAAAAGGATTAGTCAACCAAGACATATACTGAACAGGTTTCACAGATATTTGAGAAGAAATGGAATAATGAGGCCCTGAACAAAGAGGGGGTCAATATTAAAGTAACAGTGAGTATCTGGTGGCCTCCAGCTGCTTTAAGTACTCAAGTGCATCTCATCCTCATGGACTGCACCAGATTTGTCAGTTCTTGCTGTGAGATGTTACTCCACTCTTCCACCAAGACATTTGTCTGGAGGAACACATGGTTACTTGTAATTTTCCATTGCAAGAACGATCAGCTGTCCTTCCTGTCTCCCTGTAGCACTGTCTTAGACGTCTTACATTACAGACATTGCAGTTTATTGCTCTGGACACATCTGTAGTCCTCATGCCTCCCTGCAGCAGGACTATGGCATGTTCACGCAGGTGAGCAGGAACCCTAGCTATCTTTCTTCTGGTGTTTTTCAGAGTCAGTAGAAAGGTCTCTTTAGTGTCCTAAGTTATTGTAACTGTGTAAACTATGTAACTAAGTAATTGCCTACCGCAATTAAGAACCTACAGTCTTAAGGACTGTTCCACAGGTGCTTGTGCAAGAATTGTTTATGGTTCACTGAACAAGCATGAAAAACATAGTTTAAACCCTTTCCAATGAAGATCTGTAAAGCTTATGTGGATTTTACAAAAATATCTTTAAACTACAGTCTCTTGAAAAAGGGACATATCTTTTTTTGCTGAGTACACACACACACACACACACACACACACACACACACACACACACACACACACACACACACACACACACACACACAGTATATATGTACAGTATATACTAGGTAGAAACCTACAACACCAACCAACAATTTAGCTCTAACCACTTCACAAATTTTTACATTTACATTTATTCATTGAGCAGCGACTTACAAATGAGGAAATAGAAGCAAAGCGATATCAAGTGGAGAACAATACAAGTAGTGCTAGCATACAAGATTTATAATTGAGTTCTAGAAAGCAAAGTGCGCAGAGTCGAGGTGTAAGTGCCAGAGTAGGTTTTTTGTTAGTTTTTTTTTAGGATTATGTGGGGTTGGCGTTTTAGGGGTTAGATAAGTGTTTAAGGAAGAGGTGGGTCTTTAGCTGTTTTTTGAATATAGTGACAGATTCTGCGGTCTGGATTGAGGCTGGACATTCATTCCACCGCTGAGGGACAGTTAGTGTGAAGGTTCTGGAAAGGGACCTTGAGCCACGCTGAGTAGGCACTACTAAGCGCCGGTCGTTAATCGATCAATCGATCAATCAATTTTTTATCCATTCAACCATTTTCCATACCGCTGATCCTACACAGGGTCGCGGGAGAGCCTGAAGCCTATCCCAGGGAACTTGGGGCACAAGGTGGGGGACACCCTGGAGGGGCTGCCAACCAATTTCAGGGCACAATTAATTTTACCTCCTAATGAACAGATCATGTAGACATGCGAACACTGACTGGAGCAGCAGAACACTTTAAAATCTACTTTGCCAGACCTTGTCTTGTCCAATTAGCCACTTTGCTTGTTGTGTGGGGATGCTTGCTCAAACAAATATCCCTCACCACACAGATGAAAACGCAGTTACTCGTAATTACCTCGCTGACTTAGGTAGACGAAGCATCTGATGGGTAAATTGCCTTAATTCGTCAGTCATTCATTGGCTTAATCAGTGAAGCAGCTCCTCCAAAACCCCTAGCGTTCTCTGGGTCTAATT